TAATCCCACCGAGAGAAATAGACGTATTTACTCGAGGTTAATTAGAAATCCAGAGAAAGCGTACGCAAGAATCGAACTTAGCATCGTGAGCGTTTAAACCCAACTTAAAGGTCACCAAACGTTAATAGCGGATTTACCGAAGTAGAGGTAATCAAGGATCTCGTTGGAAAAAGGCTAAATCCCAAGATCAATATTCGTTCCGCTTTCCCCCGAGTATTGGCTCGACACAAGCAATCTTTATCAACAAGGAACGATCTTTCATAAGTCATTTGATCAGTGGAGGCTTTGTGGGATGCTTTATGTGTAAAACTGTTTTCCTTTATTATTATGCTTCTATTTTTTTCGTTTTTCTGGTCCATCATAAATTGGTTTAATGTTCGTTTATTAGTTATTTTTTCCTTCTTGGTAAATTTCATAAGTGATTTGTTCCTTATCCAGATATTCCTGGTGAGTTTTACTTTAAACATAAGATGCAATTTTTCCTCCTTGAGCTTTCTTTAGAATGCTTCTAATAGTACCGTAATTTTGGATTTCATAGTGGATTTGATGTAAATTAGTTTCATCTTATAGACATAATCCTATATTAAGCATGTTGTAAATGTCTGCTAGTTTCAATTAAATTTCAGTCATATTTATGTTTGAGCACAGTTGTGTCACTAAAGCAAAACCTTTCCAAAACATCGTCTGTCACTTAGTTAATATCAGCCGTATAGTCAATGATGTCTGATTTTGTTGCATTTATAGCTTTACCGGTTGCTATTTATGTTTACTGCCTAAAGTACTAACAACCTGACTTTATTTAATAGTCACGTGCAACGTATGTGGCGTTTGTTTGTCATTAGCCGCGACGACCTGCTTTATAAAATCATGGAATGTTCTTTTCATCATTTTCAATTGTATAATGGATAGTAGACCTCTTCCCCCAGGGTGGATAGCTCAGGTATTGCCATTGCTATGTTATTACCTGTCCGGAAATTTTGAAGCTTTTACAAGGATAGGATTGTAGGATAGGGTTTCTTTTAATTCATATTTATATTTATATATTAGTGGGATACAGCTACCGGTGCTTATTATTATGTTGGTAGGTTTTCTTGGTAAAAGGCATGCTTTTTAGCTTCGAAATTATCTAAAGTTTATTATGCTAATATACAGACACGAATAAGAACCCTGTATTTACAACCTGGGAAGATCCAAGGCCCGCATATTATGCTCACGAAACCTCGCCTGCCCAACGGCCTCCAGGCTCCCAACCACCAACCCAATATCCATCGAAAAATAATAAACATGACGAAGCAAAAGCTTCTTCAAATACTCCATTGAATGATGATAAAAAGAATAAAACAAAAGGTTCTGCTCCATATCCTCCGTCGAATATTGACAAAAATAACGAAATAAAAGGTCCTGCTCCATATCCTCCGTCGAATAATGATAGAGACAATGAAAAGCCGGGTTTTCCTCAGCCAATGCCAACTCCTGCATTATCTTCCTCGCCAAACCCTCAATCATATCCACCAGCATATCCACCAGCATATCCACCAGCATATCCATCAGCATATCCGCCCGCATATCCGCCAGCATACCCATCAGCATACCCATCAGCATATCCACCAGCATATCCACCAGCATATCCATCAGCATATCCACCACAACCACAAGGCTACACCGGATATCCCTCTGTTGAGAATAAAAGTCAAGGGAACTATAATGGGGGACCGCCTCAATCCCACGATTATAATCCAGGCAGTCAGGCTGCTCATGGTAGCCCCTCTGCTGAAGCCAGTGGTTCGTCGGAAGGGAAGAAAAAGGGGATATTTGGTAAATTGGCTACATTTGGTGCGCTGAGCGGAGGATTGTCTCATGGAATTGGACGTGGTCATCATAAACCAGGATTAGGAAAACTTGGCGGAGGGTTGGCGCTTGGTGGGCTAGGGGGAGTTGTAAGTATTTAAAATGATTATTGTCCATGACTTTTCGACAGTGTTCTCTAATCTTATTGTTGGTTGTTCTTTAGGCTACTGGTCTAGCCCTTGGGCGTCTGGGCCATAAAGGATTTGGTTTTAAAGGGGTTGGATTTAAAGGTGGCTGGGGCAGTGATGATGACTTTGGTGACTGGGATTAGTATAATTTCTCGTTTCTTGGGAATGTTTTAATGTACAGTAGTTAATGTTAAAGGAGATTCATATGAATTTATATCCATAAATAATAAATGATTGTCTTATGTTTATTAGGCTTTGAATGTGAAAAACGAATAAATTATGACTTGCATGTTATTTAATATTTACAGTTGTCCGAACATCATTGACATTTCTAGCAACTGCTTGCGCATGAATTGTCTCAAGTAATCATGACCGTCAACGATTTTATCCCACATAGACTCTCATTCTTCTTTGAATAAAATATATATTAAAAAATCAGAAACACACTATGGCCGTTGACCAGGGTCTGCCGTTATGTCGCTGGCTACGTTCAGCTCTGGTCTCCTACTAGATCTTTCTGCAAATTTCAAGAAATTGTATGATTCTGGTGAAGACCACGACGTTATATTTAGAGTTGGAGTGGAGGAGAGCGAGTTTAGGGCTCACTCCAGCATTTTGAAAGCGAGGTCAGCTTATTTCAATGCTGCATTTTCGAATATGTGGGCAAGGAAGGAAGACGGAGTGTTTGTATTTACGAAAGACAATATATCGAGCGTTGTATTTGACCGAATACTCAAGTAAGACCAATGAATTTGGATGTATTATCGATGGTATTATTGGATCTGATTGCTATCACTTTCACTGCTATAATACAGATTTGTCTATAGCGGGTCAATAAACCTGGATACAATGGAGACCCAGACATTACTTGAACTTCTCATTGCTGCCGATGAATTGGAGCTGCAAAGTTTGATTACCTACGTCCAAATTCATCTCATAAGCAAGTGTACGAACTGGTTGCGTCGACGAATTAACATGGTCTTGGTTCTGCATATAGTGTGCGAACATGAACCATTTGATCAATTACGAGAATATGTCTTGGAATATATCTGTCGGGATGCAAAGCCATTTTTTGAATCAGATGAATTTACTACTCTGAGAGAAGATGCATTGGCCCTTATATTAGCACGAGATGACCTGGAACTGGATGAAGTAAGAATATGGGACAACGTTATACGATGGGGCATAACACACGCTGAATTACCACTCAGCGTGAGCAACATAGAATATTGGTCGGACGCTGAATTTGAAGCATTGAAAACAACATTACAGCACATTATTCCTCTTGTTCGGTTTTTTTACTTGTCGCCTGTGGAATTCGAAACTAGAGTTATCAGATTATTTCGTAAACTGATTCCTTACAGTATGCAAACACGCGTATACGAATACTATTCTAACCCGAATATGCTTGACACCAAGTCAACCGTACCACTGCCTCGAGTATCAGCCTTTCCTTTCGATTCTTCTATAATATCAGCGAAAGATGTTGCTCAGATAGCCAGTTGGATAGATAATAGACGCAAGCAACCATACAACTATGCACGAATACCATACGAATTCAAATTAATACTTCGGGCATCACGCGACGGGTACGGCGTTGATACGTTTCACAAGTTATGTGATGGATATGGACCAACAGTGGTAGTATGTAAAGTGAAGGAGACGGGAACTATAATTGGAGGGTTTAATTCGTTATGCTGGCATGGCTATTATAAATGGGGTCCTCGCAGATTTGCATACAGAGAGGAACGCAAAGAGACATCGGAAAATTTCCTATTTACGTTTGGTGACACCAGAACGAGAGCACATACACGAGTTGTCAAGGTCAAGTCCCAAAATGTGGACGAAGCAATAATATGGGATGGCGGTAAAGGGCCTTATTTTAATAGTGATTTAATGATGGCATATTCACCTCTGGTAAACGGGAATCATAACTGGAAATGTCAGCAATTGGTAAGTCGTTAGATGAAAAGTGAGCATGTGATTTCTATCTTCATATAATTGTTATAACGATATATATCCGTACGCAGGCTTATGAAGCCCCCATTCTCGATGGTCCGTCATCCATCTTTTCCGTCGATGAATATGAAGTGTTTCTTGTTGTGGAAAAGTCGTTTATGCTTGTCTCTTGGTCAGTCAGATTGTTACGAATTATCAGATGGGCGAAAAGATACATTGCTAAATGGTGGGACTATGTTGGATTAAATTAAACGCTTTTTCATATCTAAGTGAATGACAAAATCAAATACAGAATAGCGATAATATTCACAATAGTCGATATCAATCATATTGCTTCAAGATTTAGTTAGGCATATCACATTTTAGATGTTGCACCGAATAAAGGATGTTAATATGAGGGAAAACAAGACGAGTTCTTGGAAGAGAATTATATTATTTATTTGCATCTTTAGCTTCTTCTCCACAATTAACCTTGTCCGTGTCGGTGCGCGAGTCTGCTGCATCTCGTAAATCACATAGCTCCTCGATATTATATTTCCTCAGCTCATTGTAATCTCTAATCACACTTAGACCGCAAATCTTCTAAAAGGAGGTCGTCGAATTGTAAGTGGATAAAATTTATGCTGAATTGACAAATACTATACATGCCTTGAATATTTCAACTATAATAACGAGCTCAGGCTCATTCAAGTTAACCACATGACCATCCCCAACCACTTCGGCTATTTTCTTGATTAAGTTCATTCTGACGATTTGTTTGTTGAACCTAATCCTAGGTTGAATGGCAAACTGATCCGCGAATACATTTTAATATCTAGAATACAGAATAGATATATAGAATGTCCATTATATCATGTGCTCACCTTTATCTGTCGTTTCTCATTCTCATCTTCAGGATGAAAATGCGGTTTAAGCAATTCCTTAGCCATGCACTCGATATCTTCCATATCAGCATAACAGGTTTTCTCAATCGGAATAAGGCGTTGAATGAATCTAGTTGACTTTTGTCTAGTAATAGCTAAATCGCTCAGAATCGCATGCACAAGTTCTACAGGCGCAACGGGGTCTGCCACCTTTATGAATATGACTGCCTAAATGAGAAGTTTTTATCGAGTCTAAATTAGGTGCCAATACGTGGAGAACGAAAGGATATAAGACGTCAGCTGCAGAAAACGAGCAACTTACGACAGTCTGCGTCAATCAGTATAGACGTAAATCGATTCGATTTTGCTGTCAATTTTCGCCTTTCCAAGTCAATTGATAACGCAATATCGACTTCATCGAGTGACCCTTCCTCAACTGGGTAAAGTTCATTGGCGTACTATGATTAATTCGCACGAAATTTATAGACTATCGATATCACTAGGGATTCAAATATTCTCAATACGAAAAAATGCAAGTAATTACCCGATTAAACAGATCATAACATTCTCCAACAGACTTGCCTTCTTTCCCTCGAATGCAGCTCACAAAGACACCACTCATATTTGCCTTCAGCCCTCTGTTGCGAGGGAAGTACTCTATGTCAACAGACAAGTCGAATCATTTAACAGTTGGGTTCGGTCAGTAAACCAATTAACATAACGTGCTCACTATTTTTGCTTTTATGTTTGCCTTCGAAGTCTTCTTGCGATGCCATTTCAAAGTGATCGGATGTGAATGTTAATATTAAACATTTATTACAAATCAGATTCATCACATGATTAACTTCACTGCGCATTACAATAGCATGCTAGCATTACAACTTCCGAAAATTTATTTACCAAAAAGAAAAAAAAACAAACACAAAGGAAGAAGGAAATAGAAAAGAATCTAAGATTTACAAAATGAATGCATAGAAATAATGCTGTCGTAATGTTCATAGAGGGAGCTCTGCACACTATTTACTATGTCTGCCTAGTTAGCACAAGTGCGATAAACAATTTGTTCTTATTTGACTATTTTCAAAAATTAAACTTTGTGACTAACATAAACACCGAAAAATTTATTAGATGGCTGTCAAACATCAAGTCAAAAGAGCCAACCGTAATTTCAGACACCCTTTACATGGCCTCCCTCATTGGCTTGTTAACGTATCCGTTATATGATACAATCTTCGTTACAATTGAAGAAATTTTATCTACAAGTTTTCATGAATTCCGATAATTATGACGCTTGTTTTCATCTCCCATAAGTGTACGTTGTATTGCATGGTAAATAGCCAGATGACTGGATTCGAGCAATTATATAATACCAAGTTTAGCGAAACTCCAGCACACGCATTTGATATTTTGTTCCTGGTTGAATTGTCCAAGCCTTATTACATACCTTAACATTGACTAGTATTGACGTACATGCATAAAATCCCCTGTTTTTAGCTACGTTTTCGTCTTTTGTAATCCATCACTCGATCTACGGATACTCCATCTGATGGATCCGATAACGACGATTGTCGAGATGTTGCTGGAGGTACATTATCCTTTGGATACGATGACGGGGAAGGTGAGGATGGTCCTGTTGGAGAACGCTGTGAAGACGGCTGAGGTGGAGGCATTTGGGATACGGGTGAGTGAGTGTCCATGTGCCTATCACTTGGGTTCAATAAATTGCTATCAGATCCAAAGCTTAACGATGGAGATGATTGAGGTGAAAGCCTATGGGGAGATGGTAATGACGGAACATGATGTTGAGATGGACTCTGGCGATATTGAGACGTTTGAGCGGCCGGCATTTGATTTGGAGGAGGAACCGGTGGGCTCCTGTATGAACCGTTGTTATTAGTGCTACTGCTACCTGAGCCGTTACCTGCACCCACAGGTGTTACGGGCTCGGGAGACCTGTGCCGAATACTATATTGGCTTTGCTGATAATGCTGGGGAGGGAAGCTGAAATCCGGAAGCACTGCAAGTGGACTCGCTGGCTGTATTTTAACGGTGCGGTGCTGAGATGGAGGACTACGCGATGCAGAATATCCGGAGCGAGGATAGTCAATATCCGATATCGGTACTGTTCCATGAGGAGAGCCAGTGTTGTCAGCGCCTACTGCCGAGTTTGGTGTTGAAGGTTGTCTCTGGCTCGGATGTAAGCCATCTCTGTAATGAGGAATTGACGAGGGAAGCGGTGTAGATGCGTCGTTCTGCCCAAGTTTAGCTACTTCTGCCTGAAGTAAATCCACTATCATACAACATATGTTATTAGTTAGAATATTACTCATAAACAATTCAAGACATCTAGTGCATCAAGCTCACCGTCGAATTTTCGCTTCCGAGATATGTTGTGGGTATCTCCTTCCTCTAATAAAAAGAGTGATGACGTCATTAGTATTACAAGATAGTCCGGCGGTCCATGCGATATAATAGTAATGTCATACCTTCATGACACATGGATGTAAGTATTTTTGAAATATTTGTGATCACCTGTGTATGGGGGTTAGAATAATAATAAAATATATAAGTAAGGGAGGGTGAAAGAATTCACATGCTCTAAGAATACGAGTTAATGATTCTATGGTTGTTATAAAAATATATTAGTGCTTGTTTCTAATTATGCCAAAATTCCGAATGTCTAGGACGGTCGGTAGTATATAATTGTAATTAGATTCTTATGTACCAGCGTAAGTTTCGCTTGGAGCATCCGACAAGAGACGGTCTCGGCATAAAGCATGCTATAGTTTTCATTCATTCGCCTTATCCGATCCGTTATTTCGGCCACTTCCTTCGATAGTTGATCTATTTTATTATCTCTCATAGCATCTGTTTCGCCTGCCGAACCGAGATTAGCTCCAGTACCTCCCATGCCTCCCTTCATCATTGTATTGGCATTAGGATGTGGTTTAGAACTTTTTCGTTTAATGTGCTGTAGAGCTTCCATATGCCCTCTACGAAATTCGGGATGTTTAAATTCCCATGCTTGAGACTCGCTCGATGGATTCGCATGAAACATATCATTAACTATAATCAATTTAGAGTTGCCATATATGGAAGGATGTAGCCAGGACATTTTAGTGGGACAGATTAGGAATCGGCATACGTTTATCAAATGTAACTACAGTCATGCAAGCCAACAATATGTGCATCGAAGTTTCTGAAAGATCGTACACACCTTTATGGAATCCGTACACTGCATTCCAGAAGCACCAATATTGATGACAAATATGTGGTGGAACAGATCAGAATCAGTCATTTGATGCAGCAGATGAAAGAACAGCAAGAAAGAACAATAGGATATACTTCGCCCCATATAATTATCAACATACTGTTTAGTTGTCTGACAAAGCTCTGCCAATTATTGTGTTTGAAATACTGTGGAAGGACAGTTTTTGAGAATTCGGTTGGATTGGAGACACTGAACACATCACCGGAAGGTGCCCATGCAATCAAATGTTGTATTGATATATCTTCAACCATTCTGTTTGATAGAAAAAAGAAAAAGAAACATTACAAAGCGATTGAGTGAATAACTAGGGTTAAATTGACTTTGATCAAACAAAATTATTAATAGGTCATCGCAAGAAAGAAACAATAATCATTATTGACGGAAAGAGAGAGCAATTGAAAGACGGCAGAACTCCATTTGGGTTCAGACGCGTCTTCAGATTCAGTCTTTTGCGAGCTATATAATTAGGGTATTTAACGAGGAGGGTGTATAAAATAAAAAGTTCATTGGGACAGACTTTGACGAAATTGAATAAAAATCTTCAAATGGTATCAAATAAATTAGTGCCAAAGAATATCTTTTTTGAATTCATATGTTTAGTATTGTCAAATGGGATCGTTTATCCCTTCAATTGTAGAGAATACTTACGTGTACAGTTTATTTACAAATGCTGCTTGAGTTTTATGTGTTGTTCCTTGCGTTGAAATAGAGTTGACAGTGTTTCCTGTAGGAGCTGCTGTCGAGGCGGTGGGAGTTGTAGGAGACGTTTGAACGGGAGACGATTGAATGGGAGACGTTTGAGCAGACGACGCCGCTTTTGCAGGGTTTGTGATTAGAGGCTGTGGGGCAGGCATGTTCTTTGTTGGCGGAGAAGTAGTTGCAAATGGGGAAGGGGCAGAGACGATTGAAATCGTAGGAGAGGCGGGAGAGACGGGAGGAGCTATATTTGAGGCAGGTGTTTCGCTCCTTGAAGGCAGTGAATCTGTTGGTTTGTCAAGAAGATTATTGTCTTCATTAACGGTGATAGAAGTGGTCTTTTCCATAGTCATAGCCATGGGGCTTCTGGTATCTGATAAGTAGGTAGGAGCCAGCTTAGAAGGGCGGATTTGTGGTTGATGATAATGATCGAGAAAAGGTGAAATGAGTAAAAAAATTTTTTGTTAAAAGGCGGAGCACGGAAGTTCCTGTGGGAAAGAAACATTTCATACATCGAGATCGTTTATTCAGATAGCAGAAAAGCAGTGTATATATAATCTGATATGTAGGAGCGACCCTTACCAGCAAGAAGTCTGTGTCACTAGTTATATATATATATATACAAGTGCTCTACACTCGATTCATATGAGATGAATGTGTAATTTCAGATTAAGCATCATCCACATTTTCACGCTGGAATGATATTCTTCTTGTTTATATATATGATTTGGGGGATTTGTATAAATAGGGGGGAATAAATAAATAGATATAAATAAATACATAAGTATATTAATATATATAATTGTACTTATGTATATTAAGTGATATGTGTGATATGTGACTGATATGGAAGTATCACGGCTCTTTGTTGAACTATGTACCAATTTATTGTTAGATATCTCATTTCAGAAAAGCTTATGTTGCTAACCTGCATACATATATATATGTGTATGTATATTAATATATGTGCAGCTCATGATTGCACTATTGTTAATTAGATTTTGCTGAATATGAGGTGTCATCCATGGAAATGACGACAGTGACTGGTGCAAACGCGTGCCCTTTCCATAGAAAATTTACTTAAGCTTAATTCGAACTTTGATCGTCTACCTTGCCATCGACGGCACGGAAAAGCTTCCTCGATAATAATAAGCCGATTACATATACATGACTATGATGAGCCCCGCAGCCAACCAGCAATCTTTGCCGTTTTTGTTGTTACCTTCCTACTGTATCATAATCATTGTATTCCCTCTATCATAAATTACCATATTGGAATGTTGGAGAACGTGAAGCTGACGAAATGCTGTAGATTTATGGAATTATTGAGTTTGTGTATCAGTATCGGATAGATACGTATATATGTTGTTGCAATGTATATTTATTTGTATGATTTCATATGTATCAATTCTATACGTACAATATTAATTTTAATACAAGTACAAAGCATTACCATAAAGGAAAAAGCTTATTATCAAATCAGCATATACAGTACGCACAAGGCTTTTCAAGAAATTTCCAATCTAAAGCTTGCTTACATTGTTACGGGGCCGTTTGACAATTGTATTTTCCTATTGAAATAATAAACGCTGACAAAGAACAGTGTTTTGAACGCTTGCGCTATCACAACATTATTGCATTGGACGCGCTAACCCTGCTTGCAACCACAGGGAGCAGGTATGGCGGAGCAACAGAAAAGCCAGAACAATAGAGTAGATAACAGTAACAAATATATCAAAGTGACTATTAGATAATCACATCCTTATATCAACATGCCGATCCTGCATTCCTATATGTACAAATTATTAGATAACATGGGTTGACGCAATAACATAATATAAATATATATTATTAATATCACCTAATATTAAAGTATTATTTTTATCTGTTTACACTTCGTACATTAATCTTTTATTGTAATAACAATTGTTATTATTATTATTATTATTATTATTATTATTATTATTATTATTATTATTATTATTATTATTATTATTACTACTACTGCTATTATTATCATTATCATCATCATCATATCATCAACCCCAATACTTAATAAGAGTATCATTCTATCACTTACATCTTACATGTTAGTAAATTCCCTTATCCAATCTTACCAATCTCCCACCGAACCTTTTCTTCATCCTACTCGGAAACAGTTCGCGTGTAACTGCATTAATCCATTTCCAGAAAACTATCGTCCAATATCTAGAAGTCCGTTTGCCAACTCCTGACGCGCAGTCTGGAGAATACATTCCACATAAGAACAAGGTGGAAACAGACAGGGGGTTCTATACACCTTCTAATCGCAACTAACTGTACAATCTGACTGTTTACGGATAATATCATGTATTTAATACCGCTAATTACTTGTTTATACTTTATTGTTATCGGTCTTTGCGACCGTTTCTCTATATCACAAGGTCCAACGTTGTGCGTTCAACCACCCAATCAAAAAAGAAAAGGAAGAGAAAAAAAAAAAAAAGAAGAGGAGCCAAGCAATGAAAGATGAAAGGGCAATGAAGAACACACAGGTAACAGTGATAGGCATACATGATACATGTGAATTACTGACTGATGTTCAATTATAAACTTTAATATATCTATTAATGATTATGGCTCGGATCACAAGTTGTGATATTGCTCGAACATCGATTTACGGTTAAAAAACTTTGTATAGACATCATGTATGACAATTCAACTGTAAATTAGCAAACATCACACTGCTTAATTTATACAATGAATCATATTCTGTTTATCCGTTCTGTTATTCATCTATTGTTATCGGCGTCCAATCAGCATTTTACCTTCTTCTGCCTTGTCTGCTGAAAATTCTTTGTATTCGTTCTATTTCCCCCTCCCTTGTCTTCGGCAATACTAACATGTCGATATATTATGTTATGGTGCGATGTTGTACAAAAGTTCAGTCCCCCATAATTTATAATAATAACTGATTAGTGATACTATTACTTTGTTCACAGACAATCATTGTCGTTGTCTCTGCCAATTATTTCTGTGTCTCATCTCTTTGTTCATTGCTTCAAGGCGTCGTTGTCCTCAAATACACCAGCCATTCATTGTCATCAATCTCAAGTTTCTTGTCATCCGGTTCACTATATCATTAATTCCATTCCACTTGTTTCCAACTTTACAAACAAGCCTGTTTAATTTGCAATTTTTTGACAACGAAGACAACGGATCAGTATGATAAGTTAATTGATGAATAATCCGTTCAACCGTTTCATTCCTATGGAATGCATGTCGGTGTCTGTATTTTGTAGCTTGTGCTAATTATCACTCTTATGTAACAGACCTTTTCAATTATATAATATGGTGGGTTCTATGTAATCTATCGGCGGATGCAATATCACAATAGTAAATAGCAGCAAATGCCAATTTTATGAGCAGCAATTTTGTGTGCGTGGTGGCGACCTTTGAGCACATGGATTCCGAGTGGCTTCTCCCGCATCTGCTTGCACTGATGCACAGCATAAAAGTATGCTCGCCACTTTCCATCTTTTTTACATCTCTTATCTACAGCTATCTTGTGAAACCAAACATAGCTGGATTGACACCTAATATCACATACAATACGAACAATTAAGTTACTAATATAAATAATGATGTCGCAATAGGTTAAGGTATGAATCTAATAATAGTTGCAACAACCTTTTTCCGCAGATACATGTGGAATAACAACTAATTTTCTGTAATTTGATGTCATCTTGTATGCACTATGCTGTGTTATGCAACAAGCTGAATGACAACTACAGATGGGGGGTGTGTGTTATCGTTATAGTAAACGCCCCAACTAATGTAATGTTCTAAAGTTAAACTTTCCCATGGTACTTATTCTTATATACCCAGGCTTACTATTTCATTTTTAGCTTATTCAGCGCAGCTATATTTAGTGTTTGCGAGTATACTTCAATCGTAAAAAGTATCTCTTTATCATACTAACATGCTTGCTTCATCTTTTATTTAGAGAAAAGCTATATTAACTTAGGAAACCTATTCGATTTTAAGTTGTACAACATAAACTATCGAATCGTCTTGGACTATGGTAATTTGCATAAAGTAATTAAACTTATCTGGTTAGATACAAAGAGTTCGTTTTTTCAACTTATTCTTACCCTCTATCTTGCGTTGATGTATGCAGTCTTATTAGAACATGGACCTGTCTTTCCCTTCTTATCCTTTTCTGGTATCTTTCTTGATTACCCAATTTAACTTTTAAGTGTCTCTTCCTCTTTTGTCGAATTGGATTGTTTTTCTTTTTTACTGTTATAGTAGTCCTCTGTTTTGTGGTTAACGTTCTCAACACCAGCGACAATTAATATCAAATTTTCCAGATAAAAAGCGAATCTCTACTTATTTGCGAAAAATAAGTGAACAGCAAACGGCATCAGCACGATCAATCAAAGCAAGGTGTTTGCAAAACCTTGGATCTACAACTATTTAAATGTTATCGTTATAAAAACGGCATACTTCATTAATGGTATACTTAGTTACCATAATACAAGAATTATCTGGTACGTTTAATTTATCTAACGAAGGTGAATGGCATTATAAGATGGTTTAACTAATAATATTAATATGTTTATTAAAAATCTATCATCAGTCAAATCAAAGCTGGACAACTGTCTACATATTAACACATCTACTGCTTTCTGATAATGTAGAAGTAGAACTTTGACCATATCTCGTGTAGTAGTCATCAAGTTGACCAGCGAAATAGCAGTGATTTGGAAAGTTATTAATACTGCATAATTTATTAGCAACTTTCAGTTATTATCGCACTAATTCAAGTTATAAACCATTGAACACGTCTTCACCAAATTTTTGTCAATAAAAACCTGATCACACTTGAATTGTATTCGAAGACCATGGAATCAGTTTAATGATCTCGTCAAACAAATAACTTCTTTTTTGTTAATGACTGTCCGCTTATTATTTCTCTTCACAATCGAACTTGATAGATTATACATATACCGCAGATTGTTTTTCTTTATTAATTGATTATATTTTTGTACGTGTAACATATTATCACAAGCCGGGACAATCAATTAGTTACAGTATTTTGTAGTTTACCCGTACAAGTTAGGCTATCGCTTTTAATGGGTCATCCCTTTCAATCTCGTGATCACTTGGTTTTTTTTTGTATCTCACCGAAATAGTAGAAGAAAGAAGCTTCTATTTGAAGATGTGCATCGGTTGACAAGCCGAGCTCCAACGTCATTAAGATAAGAAGAGCATGGACTAAACAAGTTTATTATTATTCAGTTCTGTGAATGTCATTGTAATCCTATGGACATGTATAATCTGACAGCACAAGCTTCCATTAAAGTAAAAAGCCTTAGAGGAACAGGATAGCTGGATGCTTCGAAAATTTAAGGCAATAAAGGAAATCGGTCACGATATAAGGATATAATTAGATTACTAAAGTGAATGTGATATAACGCTTAAGAGTTGTCCATTCGAAGACTTTGACCTGTGAATGTCAATCTGAACATCAATGCCTATTATCGTTATGCATAAAGAATAACTTTTTTTTATACAATTATCAATTTATCATAAAATAGAGCATTAGGAGTAAGCAACTCCTAAAAAGATAATGAACTTTCCACTACAAAATGTTCTTTGCTAGAACCCAAAGCTTCTTTGTTGACAGTAAACATTTAAATTGTAGACAGATAATGTGGCCAGTAAAGAGATTGGTTCATCTGTTAAGCGATTACATTGTACATGCTTTATGCAATCTCGACCTATAGCGAACTTCATTCATAGAAGTGTCTTTCGAGAACGTTCTAAGGAATCTCGTGTGACATGTAAATGCTTAACAATACTCAAATATGTTACCATTTCTAATTTTACACTGTCCGTTGTTGTAATAGCGCAATTCTAATTATTTATTCGCACATGTTTTCGAATGTAGATCAATGCTTCATATAGCATTCACGACTACAACGATTGTTCTAGACAGACTATCACTAATTTTAATATAACAAAGACAGTTACTACAGCTATTGGACTACTTACTTACTTTGTTTAATCGTGATATGTAATACATCACACCCATTTACATGCATATGATCAATCAATTGAAGCGCTTCCAACTATCATACTCAGGTGCACCGAGTCTGTATCAGGAACTCTCCGATCACGACATGCCGTGTTCATGATTGTCTTGTTATACGACCAGCTCTTAAAAATATTCATGCAGTCAACCAGTCTCTTTATCCTTCAATGTGATAAAACAGATTCTAATTGAGAAAGACATAACCAATGGATTATAATTATCGTTGAGTGTGACGAGTCGGAAAAAAAAAGTCGTATACCGGGTATCTACAAAACTGACTATAACATCATAATACGAGGACTCCAAACCGTGATGCCGGTAATTCAAAAAATCAACATTTGCCTGGTGAAAGTTATTGCTCATCCGCTCTTTCTAACAATGTTTCCAGCAGGGACTCGAAACTTTCTTAAACAGAAAACCTTAAATCTACTAGACTATAAATACTTTGATCCACAGAAAGATATAGAGACAGGTATTTGTATTTCTGTTAAATAACCGCAATGCACAGAACAACATGGATGAAAGTCAAAAAATATTTCTGAAGTTGTGAATTAACTTCCCAAAGACAACAAATTTAGTTCAATCATAAGAATAATAAGTAAATTAAAAGTTTTTGATGCTGAGAAGTTTGTAAGAATTTACGGTTAACATCAAACAATTAACATAGTTACTCCTGTGGGATTCATCAACTATTTTTTGTACATAGAAACTTATTTTGTTATTCTAATCCCATTGACGAACTAAGCATAGGGAATTAGAGAGTTTATCATTATATTGTCAATGTTAATTTAAGAGACTTGTATTGCTTTCGTAAAAATTGTAAAAAAGCATCACTTTTTAGAAGCTCTTGATTTAAAAAGTTCTGGTCTACTTCCATCAATAATGACACAGTCCTGGGCATCTAATTGTATCTGAAAGACGTTGAAATGGCGTATACAGATTTTTGAATCTGCCCAAACATCCATTGAGGAATCAAGAAGCCTAGCAGTAATCCATCTGAAACTCCACAGTCCTCAGGCCCATTGACTTCAAGCAAAAAGAAATTGAGAACTGATTATTATCTATTATATATTTATTCTAGTTTGTTGTTTTTCTTTGCAACTGCACTTTCTGCGACTTGCTAAGGGTAAACAATAAAAAGAAAAGAGGAAAAAAAGATTTTATCTAAAGACACTATTAGTATATGTACATATTAATATACGAGACATATTCGCATATTACGTTACCACTATATGTTAGCCAGCGGGTCTTCATTTATATCTATTGGATCTTCTTCAATCCCAATTTCCTCCTGCAGAGTTAAGGCTATTGAGCTTTTTGCGAATAACATGTGCAGATTAACAAATGTAGCATTCTATCACATACAGTAAATTCTTGTGGTTTCTGTGGAATGTATTCCATAAGTGTTTTAAAGATATCGTCAAACTAAAGTTGGAGAACATAATACGCGCACTTGTGAGAAAAATTATAAAGATTCGGCAATAGTAATTCACGTATAATCCTGACCAGTTTCTTTCGCTGTTTCCAGAACTTTCGATTCATTTCATACGAAGCATCTATTCTCTTTCTGTCATCATTCGACACTTGCTTTGTGCCTGACCTCAGAATATTCAATCGCTCCTCATTTCTTCCATTCTGAATTAGAAACAAGTCATTCAGTTGAGAAACAAGAAAAGTCTAATTTATCAAAAATGATAATATAGTCAAATAACGATTATAACACTTATAATACCTCGTCTTCCAAGGTCTTCAATCTTGTTTTGAAAGACGTGTTAGATTTTTTTTTTACATAAATAATCACCTGGTCCAGGAATTTATCAACTCACCTTTCTTTAATTTGCTTGTTTGTCAGAGAATTATTTAATCCATTCAGCACTGACATAAATCGCCGAGTTAGTGCTTGACGCGAAGGAATGACGTACCACGCCCCCATAGTGGTAACAAACGCACTCGCCAATGACTAAATTGATATGAATATACACCTAATTGAAGTTGCTTATTTTTCTCCGCGTACTCCATAATCTCTGTTTTCAATGTATTTATCTTCGCATCCATCGAAGCCAAGTCATCAGACGATGGTAATTCAAATTGGTTCTGGGAAGTAACGTAACAATGAATAATAATAAAATTAGCGATTGAAACCACTCTTCCGATACAGATTATCCGTAATAGCATTCATAATGTTCTTGTAGGCAGTATTCCGCAGCACCAATGTCCAATGTCCAGTACCTGGTTTATAACGTAAACCGATTGCTTCCCATACGGCTTATGTGTCACATCACCTTTTTCTGCAAGAGTATTTAGCGCTTTCTGAGCTATAGTTTTCGTTATCGCTCCATGCAAGTTGTTGACAATGTCAGCTAACAAATTCGTAAGAAGAAAATTAGAAATTCACGCCTCACACTTCAGTCTATATTGCTTTGAAATGGCATGTCACTCACTAGCACTATAAGGACGATTCTGCTTCCGTAGATAGTCTAGAACCTGCTGTTCTGCTGCTCGTGCGAATAGCATGTCAGTATATTGAAAACAAGGCTATGTATAATGTAAAAGTTTGGGCAACATACCACCGTCTGCCTTTGCACTAGGCGTTTTCTTCTGCTTTGCCATAGAATGTTGACAAAACTCAATGAGACGCGAGGTTGTATTGACACGTCAAGTACATATGATGTTGGTACTACAACGTGACGCTTTAAAAACACTGGGATGATATAATAATAAAAAATGACAGCGTCACGTTGCTATAGATCATTATTTTATTTATTTATTTTCTCTGCCAATTCACGCTCTACTATTTCTTTATAATACCCATTGAAATCTACTCTTAACAATAATGCCTGTAAGAATCCCTCACCGGGAGTATATGATTCAGATCTCTTGTTACTAGGCAGGCCAGTCTTGTTGACACGTCCCCCTCCTTTCTCATCAAGTGCAGCAAGAATCTTCACTAGCATTGCTGTGTATAGTCTAAACTTTTCATACAGCGTTTCTACCTGTTGATCGCCCTCATCAACCCCATCTCTATTATGACTTCTCACATTTAGTAATCTTGCAAATGCCAAAATAACAACTAATATTGCATTAACTACTTTCATTATCGGTTCCTGCTTGGGCTTTAGCAGACACAGAAATACCATTCTATCCAACATCTTCTCATGATATATCTTCAGCGTATCTAAATCCTTCACATTACAACCATCATCTCCATCATTCCACCCATCATCTTCCATTTCCATCTCACTGTTTGCGCCATCTACTTCAAACTCTTTTGCCTTATTGTCCAACTTTTTCATGAACAAATTCCACGTCGAGTCAATGGCAACATCGAATATATAACATTGTAGAGCGATTATGAATTGATGTGATTCGAACCGGAATTTCTGAGTTGTTATGTGGGAAGTGGTACACATCGAGCGAGTGTGAGAAATACGGTAGATATGACATACAACTGAACCTAGTCGTAGGATACGCAAGAGTAATGTAAATATCAGGTTGTACTTGACGAGATGATCTGGTGTTATTAGCACGTTAATGGGGTATGGTGGCCTGTAATCGAGGTAGAGAAAATCGAGTGCTTCTAATGCTGCGAACGAAAATAAAAAGAAAGAAAGAAACGAGTCAGATATGTTTAACAACCGAAACATTACGTTAAACATTCAATACTACCATTTGGATCTTTGCAGACTTCCCATTCTTCATCGTCCTTAATCCCAAACATAAGCATATTATCCAATCCTACAATGTCTCCTCGGGTTATCTCTTCACTCCCCCATCCTCCTCCCTTCATCACATTTTCCACAACAACAGCCTTCAAAGCCATCCTTAACTCCGCCCCCACTGGCGGCCATGTCCTCCTGCTGTTCATACTCATGCCCAACCCAATCCCTGCTCTTTTTCTGCTCGTTGCAACGCCAGTATCGATTCCATGATCAACACTGTCTGCAAATAGTGCGTCTGAAAGATCATTCATAAACGTAGTATTTCCCATAAGCAGGTATTCTCGCAATACTTTGAGATGAGAACGGAGAGATAGATCGCGAAAGAAGAATGACAGGATGGACATGTTAACTAACCGACACTGGGCTAGAAGTGCGTGAGATAAGACTAATTCTCTTACTGTCGTTATTGGAGACGATGGTGGCGAAGAATATGAGGATAACAAATGTTTTAGGAGAGCTAGTGTTGACGTTTTGGTAACTGGAGGTGTTCCTGGGAGGCCTGTGAACGACATTGAGAGGATAGAGGACGGGGACGGCGGTATTATTTTATCTAATAGATCGTTCGATCTGTTTGATTGAAACAAACGATGATTCGGACAACAGTCATGCAACAATCTTAAAGCCTTTCCAGCTTCCATGATGTCACGTGTTATTTCGGCAGAAATGAACGTTGGCGGAGGGTTCTTTTTGCTTATCTATATAATAATCAATAAAAATGATAATACATATGTCATCAGCATTCCCGCTAATAGATAACGGTATTCCCTCTTACAATCCTAAATTCGATTTACCTGCGCATTCATCCACTCGTTTCCCTTCTCGCCGTTATCTTCCTTGTCCCCTCTCTCAATGAAGAATTCTCCCCACTCGTCCTCACATCCCTCCTTTCCTGAACCCCATATTAATGCTAATCCATTCTCCGAATCCAACCCAATCCATGCATTCATCATCTGCAAATATGGATGATAACACTGTGCAAAAAGAGAGAGAAGAATAGACTTGAGGAATGGTGAAGTATTGCTAGCGATCGGTGATATTAGAGAATACAGAGAGGAGAGAAGAAAAGAGCCAAATGGAATGTAAAATCCTTCAGTCGAGTGTTGGGATAAGTTTTCTTTAGGAAGGCAAAGGAGAGCAGAATTGGAGATGTCCTATTGATAGCACAGAATGAAGAAATTAGATTCAATTGTATTAAACCTTTATGATGCAATGTATCTTATAGCTTACACAACAACAAAATACAGCCAGTTTCTCGAGTACAAGTGATGATTCGTCAAGTATATGATATAACTCCATCAGATTGATATTGTCGATTCCCCCCAATTGCTCCATTAATGCCACAATGGCAGACCTAATATGCAGCAGACAGGCGGATAGAGAGCGTCCAAATGCCAATCCAACCAAGCCATATAATCTTTGATTACGATTGGAGTGAAAATACTGTTCAGATGTTATATTACGATATTTGGACGGAGAATCAATAAATACCTCGGATTTTTCTCGCATCTTGAAGCGACGTTATCCAGACGATTCAAGTGAGTTCCAAATGCTAAAAAGCGTGTCAACGATCTTTATGACAAGTACAGTAAATAGAATAAAGTGTTATTAATGTTTGCGTTGATATGCTTATTAGAACATCACGCGTATGTCCGTTTAAATATCTTTCCTTGACCTCTAGTACGTAAATTACCAGGAACAAAAGCATTTACATATTCATACTCTTTGCACTGCATCCATCGATGCGTATCTGTTTCTCTCTCGAAGTAAATTCCCTTTTCTCTTCATTATAAACAAAGGTCTTAGAGGATAGTCCGAGAATCAAACTACAGATATCCTAGTTCAGATACATCATAATTACAGACAATGAGTGACAAGCTACAATCGAGAAGTAATAATGTGTCTAATCAACTTTTGATATCAAACTAGTGTTCAATGTAAACCAGAGTTTTGACCCCAATTCTATCTATCTCTCTCTGTTTTTTCTTTCTTTGTACTCTACTAGATACTATATATTAAACGGTCATATTCATACCTTCATCAGACATTCCCGCGAAAGAACCGTTTCGCCTCCATCAAAAGAGTGTCCGTGATAGAAATGGAATTTGAATAGAGTCTCGTATGTCGAAAGTGGTTGTTCTGTTATGTATGCAGTGGGAACCGGTGCATAGGAAGGAGAGTAAGTTGTGTCCCACGATAAGAGCTGTCCCTATATTAGGTAGACATTGGTTAACTAAAAGGATCAATTATTATAGACATAATTCTTAATGTGAGAGACGTGGCCGATTTAAACCTGCTTGACTTCACTTTGCACTCTTTCCCATATGCTTTCTTCACATCCTTCCATGTTCCATTGATCTGACATGCTGAAGCAGAAAGGGTAATGATGAGAATATCGATTACGCGTCGTGTTGAATGCTTGCAGGTTGAGGACATCACGTGTCGAAGACTTAAATGTCCCTGGTTATCATTATAATTATACTGAAGAATCCCAACGATTCACGTGACTTACATATTGTTGCTCATGCAAACGAAGAATTCTTCAGTGTTTGAGTTCGATCCTGTTGAACTAGCAGAAGATTTTAATTGAGCGATATATCATCACAGACCTAGTTGTGCAAGGGAAGAATTCTTCGTGAAAAATTGTATTTTTTTCTTCTTCAGTGTTTGAGTTTGATCCTGTTTGTCTCATTTAATATTGACAGTCAAACTTTTTAGTAGCACTTAGCTGTAATTATAATAAAGGTAATACCTGCTATTGTTGGCAGATAGATAAAAGACCTCTAATTCATATTACACGAAATACGCGTAAAAAACCGCCTGGTAAATTTAGGCTTAGTATTGGGAGGAATGGACATATTAATATGAGTTGTTATCATTTGTACTGTTAAGAGGATAGTGTGAGAATTAGATTTAAACTTTATTTTCATTTAGATTAAGCATGTTAAAGTAATTTGACCAATTTCCTTTTTAGAAATAATGGCTGCAAAAATGTACTATAGCAACCCGTTATAACACAACACATCTCTAGTTCATGGTAAATAAAATACATAAAAACGACATCCGACCGTCCTCAAGAAAGAACATTTCATGCCAAGCAGAAGATTTTACCAACAGACGCCAACTGCTAGTGATCCTCTTACATCCACTAGAAAGATGGAGACCCAGAAGTTGATAAAATTAACTTTTTTTTTCTTCCGATTTAGGAAGATTGGTCAAGTGAATGAGTGTTTACATTGTTCGATGGAAAACAAAAGAGTTATTGAAATGATTGAAAGAACAGACTAAGCGATAGTCCTGTTAACAAACGGGGGGAGGAGGGGGGGGGGGGGAATGGGGGAATCTCTTTGTACAGTCTAGTGATTATCTATTTATTGAATAGCTATGGTGTCAATAATGAAAAACCCCTTTCAAAAAAAGGGAGGGTTTGAACCCTGAACTCGTTTTTTTTTTTTCTTTTGTTCGTTGTCTGGTTTCGTTGTGGTATACATGACTACGAATCCGAGTTCAATTGTCTGTCGGAAAGGGTTATGAAACAACAAATACCAACATCAACGTCAATATCAATACCAACAAAGGTGAAAGAGGGAGGTGCAAGAATGCAAGTGCAAGTCGAGAATGCAAACCGATAGATGCTAGGTGGGTGAGTCATCGGGCACCAGGCATGAACCCGCTTCCGAACTTATTTTCGCGAATCATTTCTAGTACATGTGACATTCCCATTCGACTCTATGAACAAAATAGAAAACATACTGTCAGATACACGATAAACTATAGACCACGCGTCAATATCATTATAATTGCCATGTACATCTTTCGTATGTGGTTTCTTGCTTTCCATATCCAGCTTCAAACAAGCCTGCTTCTCTCTTTTGAATACTAACCTTTTTGGTATTATCTGCAAACTTTCTAACCCCAAATCGCTCGATTCTCTCCGTTAATCCCCACCCAAGTTTACTAATAATCCTCGCCTCACTTTTCACCTGCGTCTTCCCGCTATCGTTTGGATCGACTCGAAAAGTCTGCCATTCTTCCACTTGCATCATTCTTGCGTGGGTTATGTTACGCGTCAGTGTCGTCATGGTTTGGGCATGAGGATTTATTTCGGATTCTTCGAGTACGAGAGCGATTGGATTTTTCACAAGCTTGAAGAAAAAAAGACAAGAATATAGATGAGAAACAAAACACAAAGAACCCATGTCAAAGCAACATATTCGTTCGATATAGCTAACTCGTTGATAAACTATATTCCACACCATCTTATCATTTTAGATTTCTCACTTACCCCTCTTCCCCACTTCGGTAAAACGCTCAACCCGCCCCATTTCAATATCAATCTCGTGGTTCTTAATGTTCCCGTCTTCTGATCAACATGTCTGTCGATAACGTCGACACTTAAGACATGACTTGCAAACGGGTTAGGGTAGCGTAGCCAGAATGCTAGAGTGACGCTATCCCATGGGTAACTGATATGCATGGTTAAAGTGAGAAAGAGAGACTGGGTCAACAAGGTTTCAGAATAAAGAAATATGAATGTGCAATAAAATGAATAGTAATAACGAATGGTACTCGAATGGCAGAACATATTCAGCGAAACGAGTGAATGATTAATAATATGTACGAATAACCTTTTACTAACGATCTGCTTTCCTTTGAACGTTCTAATGTACTTACTCGTATTTATAAGTATGCTGATAGAACTTGACCATTTGCCTCGCTGTTGAAAGAGATGCGTATAATCAGGAAATTTTCGAATACTCTCACGGATAAAGGGGCGTCATGTTACATTTACTAGGCCTTTTATCCCAAAAATTTAGCTTTAAAATACCCCTGCAAAATGAATCAGATAGATGTTCTAATGTCGGGTCACGCTTATCATTCAGCCAGTATTATAATAATAAGTAAAAATTCTTAGTACACGGACAACTGTTCCGCTACTTTATTATTACTAGCTTTTTTTTTTTCATTTTGTAAGACGTTCCGCAGCTGCGACTATTGACTGCTACCCATATTAATATTAACGATGTTACTAACCTTTAAGAGGAACCTAATTTCTGCGAAAATCTGATGTAATTATAACGTGCTCACTCATTTATTAGACTGCCCTTATTGCAAAAGGTCGACCTTTCTTTTTAACGTTTTTAAGTTTTTTTGTTTACAAATAAATTGACCATTATTGATTATCAATGCAGGATCAGCCAATCAATGTAGGTTGATCGGTTTGTGTCAGAATCGGAATTAGAACGCCTTGCATATTAATATAATTTAATATCGGCAAAACCAGGCAAAATGAACATGACGTGACCTTTCCAGGGGCTCAAACTGTAAGACTGCAAAGATTAATTGGATAAGGACAAATATTCATATCAAACGTATCTAGGTTTACTGCGACAAATCAACTCACTAACCAATCAAAAATTCCGATCATTTGATTCTGTGGATAGCGATGATCGCGATAAATAGATGCTTAAACACTATCTTAATCGGTTGTAGCATCATTCCACCCGCATTATTTTTTGTCTCGGTCACATTAATCCGTTACATAAATTCGCTAATGCATTACATTTTAACAAATTTATAATAACGCGCTAAGACCCTTCGCGGTTGATTGGATACTTTTACCAGGACTCGATGGATTTCGGAATACTTTACAATCTCTGTAGTAAAAAGTTCTCTTACCAGCGTGAGCATTGCGTCTATTAACGCTTATTATATATACTACATCCATTGCTTTAAGCCGGCAGAATAAAGAAATGCTATAAATTTGAGTGTCATAATATGACATTTATTGAATTTATTAATATTGTTGATTGCAGTTCTCGTGTCATACGAAACTCATAACGATCATGCCGATTAATTAGCTTGGAAGACATACGAGTCAGATAATGTGGTGTAATAATTTGTAATGTTTCATTTGGATTTATTTATGATACACACAAAGTCTGATTTATATATACATCCGTGTCCATAACAGCGACATAAATACCATTATGCTCTACAACGCCTCTAATCGATTCATCTCACTCACCCGATCATACACTCGACATTGCAACCGAAGTTCGACTACTCGACGGCCGCGCTCCTCTGTATCCAGTGTGATTTTTGAGCTTATGATGACGGAATTCAGATTCGAGTTGTCGGGCAAAACGGTGCGTTACTCCTGCGAAGTAAAACTGCGTAATAAATAGAGTGATAGAACGCTCCAATTAGTAAAAATAAAGACAGGGTAGACAATCAAATAAGAAAAGCCCCGATGTACTCTTGTATCAAACACAGGTCTCGAATTCGTTCCAAAGTCGGATATACAAACGATACATATACGCACCATAACCATAGCCAACAAAACATATCCAATAACTGTAAGCCACAACTTAATTTTGACAATCTTCTCACAGGCGCTTATCGACTTCTCGTGCACCGTATTAGTGATATCTCCTGCAGTGTCGTTAACGCTATTTCCGATAATGGTGTTGTTTGTAGCACCGGTGATGTTGCTTAATTGATTCCCGACAGCTGAAGTAGCATTCCCTACACAACTGTCAATAAGCTCTTGTTTGTGTTGGAACATCTCGACGACGGTGGCAACTCTAAGCACAAGGCTGACAATTACAATGAACCACAGGACGTTCGAGAAAAGACGAACTGCACGACGATTTGACTAGTTGGAGAGAGAAACAGAATGGAAGAATTGGTGAGGCAAAAATAAAAGCGTATGGTATCGGTTTACCGAATAGATGCGAGTTGGATTTCTTGTGAGCATATACATACCACCAACGATCCGACTATGCCAAAGAATGAAACGAGAGCTGTGACACCGTATAGAACTGAGAATAAGATTCGTAATCCATTATCCATGCCGGAAGAAAGATCGTTTTTGGAAAGTATTAGATACATATCCATAATAGATGCAGCCTAGACGGGAGTAATATTTAGCGATAATCGTTCTTGAATAAACAGTGCATAAAAGTCTTTGATTTTTACCATCACAATGGCTGCTAAAATGATAGTCCCCAATCTTATTGGGATACTGCGAGATCAGAGATAGGCGAGTTTAGAGATATTGTATAAAAGTCAACAGAAGCATGATTCAATTCCAGCCCGTCAACTCACCAACAGCAACAGCATTCTACCATGTTGTGTATAGTTTTGCTAGTAAACTATAACGATAATATTTGGATGTTTTTGCGTATCAGAAAGAGTACTTGGTGGTAGTGGCAAAGACCTTCTGTGTGTTATTTCTATTCCGAGGCTTAATGCTTTTATATCGTTGTATACCGACGAAAGCCGCGCGTTGTGAAAAAGGACTGTATTTACTAAGCCTGGAACAGCCACAAAAAATTTTTGTGATACTTAAATTAGTGCCAAGCCCACGTTTCATTTGCTCAGCCGCGAATGCGCTATGCTATGTTTATTAAGGCAAACCGAGCGCCACGAGTTGAAAGGGGTTGTGTCATTAAAGGTCATAATATTAGTATTGTGAGGAGACCTATTTATAAATTCAGATATACGGTGTGCATATATTTTCATTACTAAATCCAAGCCGATTAATATGAATACCCATGAATGGCTAAAATACGTTCTAACTTTAATCAGAGTAATTAACGCCAGCCTTAGTATGTTTGCTATTAATTCGTCATTCAGAGTCATTGAATAGGAAACCCATGGGAAACGTTTATAACGTTAGTAAGGTCAACACTTGCATGGTTATTAATATATACGAGCGTCTTCTTAGCTAATGTCACAAACTTTTCTCGCGTAGCATCGATTTTACAAGAAGCTATTTGCATTGTTATAAATGCGCTTGTAAGACATATAGTGAGAGTCACGCGCTCAGAACATAAGCTTGCAGATGTGTCATATTATCCCTTTCGGCACTCTTTCATAATAACGATAATGGTCCCAAAAATGACGGTACTCCTTTTTAAACAGTGATAAGAAATGGTTTATTATACCCGTGCACTCTACTTGTTCTATATCTATATTTAGATCGCCTAGAGTGGGCCAAGCCACCTCATGAAAGGTTGGGCTTTTATCAAAGTTATTTGATCTTCTAAATTTAATGTCGTTGGTTTTAGTATCATCGAGTCATCGTCATCGTAGATCTGAAAGAGATTTTGACTAACGACATCAATTTTTAATGGCTTGTTATGAATGGAGAAATGAAGCGTATTTTGGAAATTATCTTACGATGCTGCGCTGTTACTTGCGTAAATCACACTTTGCCATAGCCACTCTTGCCTTTTATATTTAATGGAACTAACGCAAATCAGAAGTAGTTGCTTGTTTGCACTTGGGAGAAAATGAAAATTATGCTACTAAAGATACAATGATTGCAACTCATATATTACTAGTTCTTGGGTTTATTGCCGACATTAAATTTTTATTATGGTAAAATTAAAAATAAAACCGTCATAATAATAAGCTGGTAAAGTTCAGCAGATAAAAATCTTAAATTTTACTATTTTAATATTAATTATAGTCAACCACTCTTGTAACCTTTTGGTACGCTGTTGATAATTTGATGACTAAATATAATTTTAAACGATGCACTCGATTATAATTAGTAGAGATCGTAATATTTCCCAAATGACAAATGAGTAATTTTAGATCAGAATTACGAAATTAAGGCTTGTGTCACCCAAGAAATATTCACGTAAGAGCAGTTTACAGCATTCACTTACTGTTGTTTGACCAACATGCCAACAAGAATATTGTTGAGCTTATGAGTGCTTCCCATTCTTTTAATAAAATAATAAGCAAATTTATAAATTTTTGATTTTTGATTTTATTTTAAAAAGACTTTTCGAGAACTGGAACAATTGTTTATTAGCACACTTTGAAAAAGCGCAAAATAGATTTAGGTGACACTTTGTACACTGAGTGTACATTGTATTCTATCTGTTTACATTACCAAGCATCCATTGGGTGCTTTCTTCTTCTGCTCTCTACACTTCCTCTTCACCATTCTTCTGACGTTTCTACAATGCCATCAATAAAATGATTAGTCAGACCCATTTTTATAATTAATTTCAAAAAAAAAACTTACTTGTTTATTGGATGTCTCACCGCCAGACAGTGCATGTTTTAGTGTTTTTATTGATTTATCAGCCACAGTGGCCCGTATTTGCTCCATTTCACTCATGATATCCATTAATGCACTCTTGGTGTATTTTAACTATACAGAAGAATTAGTACCTTATCAACAAATTAAGAATTATACATTAATTTCCAACCTGTAGCAATTCAATATCTCTCTCATAACGTCTTCTATAAACTGAGTCCCAGAAAGCACTGACCGCCGCAGAAGACTTCTCGGACTTATCATATAAAGAAAAGGATGTTATTATTTTTCTGATACTGTATTATACAAGGATCGATGTAGGTAATTATGACACGGGAAATAGCCAGCCAGTTGAGGACTTGGCTCACTCATCAGCCGAGGCATAGTCAGCTGAGTTATCAATTCGTTACGTAACAATGGACACGTCTAGCGCTCGATCTACCCCTCTTTAGTCATAATAAAAGCTAAAGCAGACCTCAAACTGTTTAAGAGTAACTTCAGCTTTCGTACACCACTCTTCGGATTTGTCTTGGAGCATATTCTCGAGGACTTTGGCGTATGCTCTGTGCTCTCTTGACCTGTCATCAAAATCCAGCGAGTTTTCTCGATATTTCAAATAGTCGATCAGCGACCACGAGCTGTTTTCCTGAAAGTACGATTTTGCGTTCTGCATAGTAACTGAAGGAAACACGCGATTTAGCTTATTTAACTGTATGATGACAAGCGTTGTGCAATGTTTGGACGAGAAAAGCAAAATTGTTAACAGATTGGCAGGCAAGAGTAGAAGGCTAATTGCTTGAAAAGGAGGCACGTAAAATTTTAACTGTCAAAAATGCACGAGCACATGACTTCTGCTGATTTGTTAGTGATCATCATGATCCAGTAAAAATAACTGAGGGGTTTTTTGGAACAAAGTCATTATAAAAGTTGCTTAAATGCACCCGAAGTGAGAGCGTGCTTTGCAACGCTATACTGGCACTGATGGCTGTTAGAACTACAAAAATCGCATTATATTACGAGACATCAGAAAATAGAATATTAAACTATCTGTCAACCGATGCCATTGATGTCTGGATAAATACATGACCTGATGTTAAAAGACAATATTACTACAAATTTGTATTCTTATTCTATTACGATGGCAGACCTCGAGTACAGTGGATGATTGTCTATTCGAAGATTTTTAATTCGTCGAATTTTATTGGTGATCATATTTAACGTATGAGTCACGTGCATGAATTTACGGAAACTATCATGTGATATGATATTATATAATTTCGGCCTTAACTGATCATTTGGAGAAGTTACTTGATAAGGCAATATTGGGACAACTTGCATTCTTCGAATTTTATCCTTCAATGTAATTTATTCATAGCACACCAAATAAACAATATGGAGATCAATTTTTGGTTAAAGTGTGTACATTTAATTCCAGACACGAAAAATTTGCCCTTTTTTTTAACACACTGTATTTCCCAAATCAGAGTTATTTAAAAGCTCTCACCTATTACTATTGTGATAATTGTTAATCGTTTGTTATTATTGTTGAGCCCAACAATAGAAGTTTAGCTAAGTTCGATTGGGGTGTGGCTCTCCACTTTTAGTTAAATAAGATTGACAGTTACTGACCTTAATGTTAGGCTTTCCTACTCATGACCCCAGTGTCAATGCGTAGACAACTAGCAGCAGGAAGGGCGTACAGACTCGGTTAGAAAGAGAGAGAGAGTGTGTGTGTGGGGGGGGGGTACGCAATAGTCCATCATTGTTAGTACGACAAAATTTTAATTCCATCAATCAGAGGTCACCACTAATTCATAATTCAAGCTAATTCCCACGAAATTGACTTGGGAATATTGTTACCTGATGAATCAGATAAGTGAGTCACATGGTAGAATCTCCCTCCGCAGTCAAGCAAAATCCCAGAATCACAAATCGAGTCCCATGATCACAATAAATATTAAAGATATGAGAAATTGGGATATTGGAATATTGGGGATAGGGATAGATCTGAGTGAGATATAACTGAGGGAAATTTATACAGAGATAAAATAGGGGAAATACGTCCAGTATCAAGACCGGGTTATATCCGAGAGTGGGATACAAATGAGGGACGACTGTACTTTGTTATTTATTGTATATTTATCAAAGCCGAAAAACTGATATCAAAAGTGGAATATGTTTTTTGTTTTAAAAGAGTCAATTGGATTAAATGTTCACAGATTGCAACGGTTCAGTCTATTTATAAGAAAACGCGTTTAATTACAAGTATCAATTATTTTACATTTGGCCGATTTTAAACAGCGTTAGAGGATACATTACCCAATGCAGTAATGTAATGAATGTATACAAACAATAAAATATTGCGCATTCAGCAATTCGCATTATCCGATTGAATGATTGCGTTAACTCTTGGCTTGGACATGCTCATCTTGCTCGGATCTAGAGAGAGCTTGGAACGCTTCACGATAATTCAGCAAACTTCTCTCTCGGAATCATTAGAAACCACAATTACAACCTATATCCAAGAAATGCGTGGCTTTTTCATATTCGGTGAAACCATTATATTCGTTATTTATCATATACGGGTGATCCTATATTAATATATAATTTTATAACTTGTATGTAGAGCAATCCGCAAGTGTATTGTGTGAATTTCAAGGCATTAGCTTGGCAGTTTAATCGTTTCGAAACTTTAATATTAAATCAATTTATAATTTGAATTGTTATGCGGCCGATAGTAATAAATTCACGGTTTATATATCAGAAAAGATTATTAGTAAAATCGTTTAATGCCATAGTAATAACGTAGCGTTGTCATTAGTTTATAATCATGTAAGCCATCCCCAACATCGTTTTTAAACCGGTTTGGTCACAATAATCGGCGCTAACCAGATAAAGGCTAACGTTACGATCTTCAACGCTAATAGCTCAAACAATATTGTTTCTACACACTCGTCGAAAGCAAAAGTTAACACAATTTATGGAAAATTAGTCTATACTAATACGAGCCAAAACCCCATGTTACACGCTGGATAGTTGGGACATTTTACATGTTGTACCATTCCATGCGATCATGGTAGGCAACGATACACAAGAGCAGTGGCACCTCTATAAGTGCCGTGATTTCAATCAACAAAGATGCAATAGTGATATTAGTTTACTTATTAGTACTAGTGCAATAGTAATAGCGACATTGGTTTACTTATTAGTACTAGTAAATATACTCGTGCTACAAAACTGTAAATATTGACATAAGATATTTGCTAAAATAATAAAAAATTTTCCAAATTAAGCGAAGATGACATAAACGCCACAATAATATTGAGAATATTATTTGCGAAGTTCCCGACAACGACCACGAACTTGTATATCTCTTTAAAGATACTGATCAAGCAATTACGGATGTAGACGACATAGATGATAGTGAGGAAAGTCCTGTTATAAGCGCTAGCACAGCAATCTCTAGCTTGGAAACAGGACAATGCGGAAAAATATATAACCTCTTTACAAATATTGAGAAGTTTGTTGTCGAAAACAAGCTCAATGCGTCAAACTAATATTTCTTCCATCTATTAACTTCTATTAGTTTTTATTCTCTTGATGAATATGGCTTTAATTTTCCCGCTTTGCTTGACCACGGAAAGGATGTCGAGCCAAAGTTAAAAGAATTATCTCTTGTAATACCTAATTGATGCTACAAATTTTCATAATAATCATCATTAAAACAATACAGGGAAATACGGATCAACTCTGGGTAAGAGAATAAGATACAGGACGTAATTATCGTTTATGTAAACGCATGGACAATATCATATCGGGTCTTCTTTTGTACGCAAGACGAGATTTATAATAAAAAAAACCAAGTTCTTTAATCGATGGATTTTGGCATGATGGCCATTTACTCTTTCGACGTTCCAGCAATGGTAACAGAAAAGCACGAAAGATATCGAACACAACAGATAGAAGATGCCTTGCTGATTTATACGTCAAACGCAAGTAAGGAGCTGGCGTGGAAACATTCGAATATTGGGGAGGAAAAAGTCATACAGATGCAATTAGAGATGCCCAATGCTTGGTGTAACTTTACTTGGTAATCTTAGTATGTTACATCTCTCAAGACAATGAACAAAGATTATGCATCGGAACATCGGCCCGCAAATAATATTTTCGCACATGAGCTTTCAACTATAAACCGTGCAATGATCACAATCCTGTGGACTATTTTTTATATTTCCCTCAATAGGAAACCCCTATCGTTATTGATTGAGCAAGACGAGCGAATTTTCGTGCGTGAGCAAACTTCGATGGAGCCTCGGATTATCGGGCCGGCTGTATTAACAGTGACATTATTTTTTTAAAGTCCGAAGTATCAAGTTTTGTAAGTGGTACGCAATTTAAAGTTTGCTCTGGTTAAAGAACCGAAACAATGCATGATGACGACTGTTTGTACGACGAATCTATTTCATAGCGATCTAATAGCGATCTAGGATTTGCTAATGCACTATTCCACTTACAGGTGATCCACATTCTTCTATTATTGCGCCAATCAGATGCCAGCTTCGCAATGTACACGTGTCCAATGCGTATCAAAAGAAAGCTTCTATGTCAATGTGGCCTTACTATTACGCTTGGAAAGCACCACCTTTTTGAAGAAAGGCTCGATATTGCAAAGAAACTTTCAGCGAATTGACATGACATGTACGGTGGATCGAGCGGGCCGAATTGAGTAAACGGGGGATTACAATACATTCATCGACAGTTAGATACAAGAATACCAAAAATAGTAATTAGCTATCAAATTAATGTGTACTACACAAATGAACGAACTTTCAGTTAAAGTGCGTCTCATGAATCACTTACCACAATTTTACTGTTTATTGCTGAAACTCAAGCCCAATTCACATACTGTCAGCGTCATTGCATTTGACTTCCGGCTTCCTCCCCACTCTTAACGCTTCTTTCTTTGATGGAACAGTTAAACCTGACCACGATACCCACAACAGTGCTCTCGGACACAGAAACTGACGACGAAGATGGACGTTTCTTTCAAGTAGATCATTTGGCGCTTGCTTCTAGCATGTCCACTCTCGATGTACGAGAGGATGGTATATCACCGACTGAGAATGAAGACAAGGAATGGTTGATAAACAACAAACGTAGTCAGAAAGTAGCGGAACCGAACAGAGAACATAAAAGACGAGCAGACGGTTTGAGCGCGGACAAAATGGAAAAAACACTTAGAATGTTGGCTATGGCTTGCGCATGTACTTTTGGTGTCGGAAGTCATTTTTCGAGTCATATAATTGGACCACTTAAGGGCATTCTTATGGAGGTGAGGAAGGGAAAGAGATTGATAAGAGGTTAAAGTGAAAATCAAACAAGAAAGGTTACATGCTTCGAACCATTGTGTATTGAGATATGAAAAAATAACGACGGGGGTAATTGGAGTAGTTGTATACAACTATTTCGGACCTCTTTCTTTTTTTTTCCCTTCTCTTTGAGGCTCCTTTCCATACATGATTAGGGTTGATTCTTGAAAGTTGATAGGTTATACCTACTCTTTTCTCCTATTTCCTCTCCAAATTCTAGCGCTTAAACCTCACAAACACCCAATTCTCTCTCCTTATTGCCTCTCTAACTCTCTGTAACACGGTAATACCAATCGTCTCTGGACTATTAATCGCAAAAGTAGGAACAACGAACAGTTCGATAGTGGTCACTACTGTAATTCTGATAGGGATGATTGTTGTCACGGCTGCTAGTTGGTCTGGGCAAGTGTGGGCAATGATTGTAGGATTTGCTGTGTTTGGGTAAGTGTAGAGCATCTTATTTTTCATTCTGCATTGACATTTGGCTACGTTTTGTTTGATAGTAAGAGCTCATCCATGAAATACATTCATTATTAATACTTGTTTCTCATTATTACTATCTATCTCCTATTACATATTCATCATATTCATTTCGTTATCGATATCGACATCGACATTTTCTATTCTCCAACATTGTCCCGCCACATTTAAAACGATCCTCTTAATTCTTTCAGCATGGGCCTAGCTCCATTAACCATAATCCAAGAAACAATCATAGTCCAATTCTTTCAAGGCAATGGTTTGGGCTTTGCCCTGGCTTCTGGGTTGACAGTGGGAAAACTAGCATCCTTTCTTGCCTCCATAACTGCTGTCCCGCTTTCCTTAAGCGGAGAGCTTTCTTACCGTACTCCTTTTATAGTCGCAACATTCACTTGCTTCCTCTCATGGATAATGAATATAATATATTTATTCCTTTTAAGACATGCTGGGAATAGAAAAGGACAAGGGAATGACGGAGCCTTATTCCATAAAGTCATGGAGAAGAAGACCGTGCACTGGAGTGCGATATTCGAGTTGTCGAATATGTTCTGGTGGTATTTGGTTGTTGTACTATTGTTTGGAACCGCGATGGTGCCATTTATACATTTGTCGAGGTAAATGTTGGTTGTATGTGTGGAGAGAAGAAAGAGAAAGAGAAAGATAAGGTGATAGGAAAATAAGAGCGTTTGCAACAAGGAAATGGGACAGGATGTGGGAAAGAATGACATAACAAGGGAGATTGACGATATCGAAATCCAGTAATGAGAACAGAATAGAAAGAGTGATGTGTAAAAAAGACGAGTTTGGTAGAATGCAATAGTGTCTAATAGTTCGAGACATCTATATTAATTCAATGACTTTCAACGTTCTTTCTAAAAAGCAATATCGTCAAACATCGGTTCGACCAGTCGGACTTGATTGCTGCATGGGATGCGTCTTTAATCTTATTACTGCCCGTCGCTGTATATCCTTTTCTCGGACTATTTCTCGACAAGCATGGAAAACGATGTTTTATATGTAAGTACGAAAAAATTATTATTATTTTTTGTTACAAGTGACTTTTAATCTAAGAAACTGTATAGTAACCTTTTCATCTCCTTTTGATAAATTATATATAGTAATAGCTGCAGCAATTGCCATGCTATTAACATATCTCCTCCTTCTACTCCCAACGAGTTTGATCCACCCATTCCCTCCAATCCTTCTTTTTGCTATAGCATTCGCTCTTGCCCCTTTAACAGTAGTAAGCCTTGTTCCTCTTCTTACAGAACATGTGTCCACTGGTCTCGGACTGTACAAATCTCTAGATAATATCGGAGCAACACTAAGCCAAACAGTAGCTGGTCTCGTTCTCGACGCCCATGCCAAGCACATCAACTACACCAAATCTCCAGATGGCATCGAACTCGGACACGAAAACGATGATCTAGGAGCTTTGCGATTATTTGCTGCATTGAGTTTCCTTTGCGTTGTTGCAGCTTTGATATTCTGGTGGCAAGACAAAACATACGAAAATGGACGTATAAATTCCAGAGATGATGGTAGTCACTATCATGATACTGCCAAATATGGACATTTGGGAGATGAGGACGTTACAAATGGGACGAGTATGATGGTCATGGAGGACGAAACCAATTATTCAAAGGAGGCATTATCGAAAAGAAGGAAGAGAAGCGTGATCTATGTTGGGTTACTGATAATATTGCTTGTAATCTGTTGGGGATTGTTTGCTGTGGTAGCTATAAAGAAAGCTAATGTACATCGGGTTGAGCCCGGAAAGAATTCAACTGTTACAGCAGAACAGGATTGATTGTAAACAGGATACTTATCCAATATATAGTTGATATTGATAATATATTTAATAACTTTTAATTACATAGACTTTCTATATTGTCTTTGAGAACAAAGAGCAATGTAAACTAGAACTAATAAAAATGACAGCGGAATCGATGACATCCGAATTTATATTGTCAATATGGAGGAGGGCGAATATAAAAAGTAAAGATATCAAGTTGTAATCATAAAAAAAAGTTGTGCTAACATTACTCGTTCGATGATGATGATTTATGTTAATTATGAAAAATATATATAAATGTATATATTATATATATAAAGTCTAGATGGGTGTATATCAATTCTTTATTACATATTTGGAGTTTTACCTCTACATTTTGTCAAGGCATGGCATGAGGAGAGCCTGCTCCGAACAAAACTCCAGAAAACTTGTTTGTTATCGCATTAAATTTCATATATTACACATATTAACTCTATAGTTTACCGTTCCCATTCTCCTTCAAACAAACATGCTGATGCTCATGTAATAACATACATGGTGGATTAGTACATACTTCAATCTCCTGAAACCATAAATCCATACAAATCTCGTCTATCGTAAGTCTCTTTGTTGTATCTGGTTCTAGTATCTGATACAATAGGTCTCTACATCCCCTTGGCAAACGCTCAATTTGTTCATAGCTATTTGTTTTCCTCGCCTCCAAATATGCAGCATAATGTGGATCCGGTGGACATGCCATTCGGAATGGAATGCCTTGATATATCATACAGTAATATACTATTCCACACGCCCAGACATCTACAAGACGGGCATCATATTCGCTTGTTTGAAACTGTTCAGGAGCAATGTAGGGTTCACTACCACAGAGGCCTTTGGAGAGATGAGCACATTCTTCCCAACATGTACGGAAGACGTCTGACACACCGAAATCGGTGATTTTCAAATGACCATTATCATCCAGGAGAAGATTTTCGGGTTTTATGTCTCTGGATTAGCAAAAAAAAAAAAAAGCAAAATCAAAAAATAAGAAACAAATTGGAGATAGGATCGTCAAAAATGAGAACGGAGGTCGGTTTAAATTACATACCTGTGCGCAACTCCCATTGAATGTATATAAGCAACACCTGAGATGAGCTGCTTAAAACAGCAATTGATCTCCACTGACGTCATATAGCCAGCCTTAATAGCAGAATATAAATCCCCACCAGCGCAATATTCCATGACCTCGCACCAATTATGATTTTCATCTTGCACCAAGTCCACAGTACGAACGATGTTAACATGATCCAGCGAAGAACTTATGCAAAATTCGCTAGTTAATTTCTTGACGTAATCTTTTTCAGTTTCGCTTTTACATCGTTTTCTAAATTCCTGTATTATTTGGAATTTTGTGTCAGGTAGAAAGAAATAGTAATCGAAAAAAAAAAAAAAAAAAAAAAAAAAAAAAAAAAAAAAAAAAAAAAAAAAAAAAAAAAAATTTTTTAAAACAAAACTTTTTTTAAAATTTTTTCTTATTTTTACTTTTTTTTT